AAAAATAGCAGACTGTGATACAAAATTCTGATAAACTAGCTCTACATCAATTATCGAACTACTGAATGATAATCTTCAATATAGAATATTGGGAAAACTGAAATTTTACCAAATAACAGTTTTTGATTCGGTAATATGTACTGGATGCTTTGTGACATGTTGGAATATCACTTAATACTGATGGGATGCTTAGAGTCTATATGAGTTAGACATTCCTGGGTGAAGCCCAACCCCATCAATTGGGTCGAAGCCTAATGACACCTCCTTAGAAGTGTGGCTTCGTACAAGAACGAGGTCCTAAGCAGAGCCTATTTCTCTTTGGTAGCCTTCTGCTACAACTGGATCCTGTGTTGGTTTGTTGATTTCCTGTTGTGTTGCCTGCTCCTCACTCCATCACCCTGCTTCCTGTTCATCTTCCACAGCTGCAAAGCAAGAGAAGCCTGACTTCAACCAGACTGGACTTACCTGCTTCTACAACTGTATAAGCTATTTCCTCATATAAATTTCTTCAGATATACAAGCACATACACATGGTTTTGCTTCTCCAGAGAGCCCAACTTAACATATTTGCTACAGGGACTGGTTCTAGAGGAAGAAAATCATAAAGATGAATTTTACATGGGTTCTCAAGAAGAATTCAACCTAAAATCCCTGAGAACTCCGTCTCTGTAAGATAAAGCCTGCTTGAAGAGGCAGAGCCAATCCCCCTGAGGACCATTAATAGATGAAGTGTTGGTGAGAAGCAAGGCTCTGGGTGATTGTGTGTTTGATATCTTGTTATAATTCTGTCAGGATGTCTGGGGAAACTGATTTGTTGGTACTTCTTATTAACAGACAAATAGCTCAAGGAAATCGATGGACTCAGAGCACCTGAAGCCTGGCTCCAATGCCCAATAAATGACCTTAAAGCTTCCACTTGTGCTATGAACGAAAGCCTCATCGCTTCTAGTAACAGAACTGATATTGCTGAAAACCAAACCCAGAGTCCTATCACACGAGTAGCCGAATTACAATGCCAAGTTAATTCTTAACCCAGAACAGTGTCTGATATTAAAGTGAGAGCACTTATTAGAAAGAATTGGGATCCTGAAATTTGGGGTGGGGATAGATGGGTTGCTAATCCAGAACACGGAGATGCTGGGCCCTAAGAGTCCATTCAGCCACTCTAGCCATCAGCACCAACCCTCCCACCTGAAGAGATTAATCCACGTTCAGTAAAACTATTATCCCCATCCCCCACTCCTGAGGAGATTAGTGCAACTCTCCATGCAGATGCCTTACAAGATAGTGCTTTAGGTTCCCAGGGAACATCCTCCCCACGATGATGGCCTCTAGACCAAGAATTAGACTTAAGTCACAACAAGGCCCCAAAGGTGAAGTCTACGGGGTGACTGAGGAAGAATTGCACTATATTCCTAAAGAACTGCTAGAGTTTTCTAATATATAGCCAGAGAGAAGGAGAAAATAATATATAGATATGTATAAATAGATACATACATATAAATAAAGAGTTTTACAAAGATAGGTGTATTTGTCTATATGTAAATACAAGGAAGCAGATAGACTTTGAGTTTTTACTTAAATCTTACCTCAGTACAAGAGCAGTTTGTTCTAATAATGTGGCACTGTCTGATACTCACCTTCTGACACAACTGCTGAAGACAAAATGGGTGTATTAGCAAATGTGGTGGAGAAAGCTGATGGTTTCCAGCTATTAAAAGATATGGCGTCTGGGGTCTTAAGGGCTTGTAGTTAAACAAGAGGCCATCTAGCAGGGAAACAACAAAGGCCACATGAAAGAAGTACACCAGCCTGTGTGATCATGCGGTGTTGATGGGAATAGGTATCAGAAGTTCAAAACAAGCAATCAAATTGATGTGAAGGAGCATGAACAAAGTGGAGATCCCAAACCCACCTGTAAGATAATTGGACAGTCCCTCACAGAAGCGCCACACAAAAGGGATGACATATCCAGGGTGCAGTATAGCACTGATGAAACACTTAACTATCCTTTAGTCCTTTAATAATTCCTCCCCTTCCTATAATGGCTTTGTTTTACCTAATTAATCTTGTTAGACCTGCATATGTTCATTTGTATAATTAAGATTATTTGATGGACGAAAGCCAGGATAGATAACTCTTCAGAAACAGTCCCAGGAGTAATGAATCCCTGAGGGTATGGACAGGAGGCGGAGGGAAGGGGAGGAGGAGCAGATAACAATGATGATTGCGTAAACCCACGAGGGAATAAATAATAGAACTGTAGGTGAATGGATACATTCGATGTTATACTACTCTGGATCTCAACCTTCCTAATGCAGTTCCTCAGGTGGTGGTGAACACCCCCCTCCCCCATCAATTTATTTTTGTTGCTACTTCATAACTGTAATTTTGCTACTGTTATGAATTGGGCGACCCCTGTGAAAGGGTCATTCGACCTCAAAGGGGTCGCAACCCACAGGCTGAGAACCGCTGTTGTAACATATGGCAAAAGAAAACAACCCCCCCACCCCCACACACACTCATATAAAGGGAATAAAGGGGAGCTGATATAAAAAAGTTCAAGAAGAAAGAAAATGTTTTGAAACTGATGGTGGCAGCAATTGTACAATTATGCTTGATCTAATTGAATTATGGATTGTTATAATAATCTGTAAGGGCTCCCAAGAAAATGATTAATAAAAAATAAAATAAATACCAGCTATGACCACATGACCGGTTGCAGAAATGATAGCTGAAACTGTTATGAGTAATTCCTATTTGTATATATGCACCAAATAATTTTTGTTCACTTTTAAAATATGACTATGAGGTCAGTGCATCCTCAGTTGGATATGTATTAGCTGTATCATGTTAGACATATCATGTTAGTTATACTATGTTAGGTACAAATTTATTTTTTATTTTTAAATATTTGACTTTATTGTGCTTTATAAAATTAATCGTGTACAAATATTTTGTTTTATAATTACAGGTGAAAGTATTGTTTCTTTTACAAAACAAATAGTTTTATTTATTTATCTATCTGTTTTCCAAAATCATTTTATTGGGAGCTAATACAGGTATCCTCTCATTCCATAGTTCAATCACATCAAGTAGTATTGTACAATTGCCACCACAATCAGTTTCAAAACATTCTCTTCCTTCTTGAACTCTCTGATATCAGCTCCCCTCTCTCCCCCAGTGTACCCCCCAGGAACCCTTATTCTACTCGCTGTAGGTTCATCAATCCTGGGTTTCGTATACCAAAAAACATATAACCGAAATTCAAGAGGGCTATCCCCAGTGATAACCCTGAGATAATCCCCAATATGAAAAACAAAACACAAGATGTTGGAAACCAGATCAGGCCCAACGTGCATCAGACAGGGGATCAACTGACAAACTTTTACCTGTTCACATCAGGTTTATCATTCTGATCTACAGTCATCTCTCCAATGCACTGTTTGGTAACCAGTTTCTTCTCTTCCCTCTATCATGAACAGAGGGAACTCACTGGAGGCTTATTTCCTGTGTAGAGATCACCAATGTATCTTGGGCTTCCACCATCATCCATAGCCTTCAACCCTGTTTCCCCAAAAGTAAGACAGTGTCATATTAATTTTTGCTCCCAAAGATGCACTAGGTCTTATTTTCAGGGGATGTCTTATTTTTCCATGAAGAATACGGTACACATTTATTTTTGAACAACAAAAAAGGAAATGTATTACCTGTATATGGTACGGTAGTAGTTGCCATCACAAACCAGCATAACCAGACAAACTGTGAATCCTACAGTATCGAGAATTTGTTACTCCTGCCCTGCGCGACTCACTGTCTAATTGTGAGTCAGCCAGACTGTCAGGGCAGAGTGAGCAGCAGACGGCAGCGCGGGTTCTGATTAAGAGACCTCGCACTTCCTGTCTGCGCTGTGGCCAACAGTGAGCTGCACAGTGGCGGCACCTGCCGCTATGGTCCAGAGTCCAGTTACAGTAGCTTCAGGGGGCCTTATTTCGGGGAGGCTTTATTTTGAGGGGGATGACATATTTCAGCGAGAGGCAAAACTGCAAGTAGGTCTTATCTTCGGGGGCTGTCTCACTTTCAGGGAAACACGGTACAAACCAGACTCTCACATTTAGTCTCTGGTAATATTGCCTCCTTCTCCTTTGGATTATGATTGACAATCCTTTGGTCACTGATGTTGGTGTGCTTCTTCCATGTGGACTTAGTTGACATCTCAATTAGATGGATATTATTTTATCTCATAGCTGGGCACCATCTAATTTATCATACTTTGCTGTAGCACCTGTATCTTCTGTGCTCCCTTCTCGAGGGTGACTATCAAACAGGACTATGATGTAAGAACTAATTGTTTTTAAATTGGAGCTAGGACTTAGTGTGAGAGCACTTGCCGAGTCTTTGGAGATTATGTTTGGTTAAAGAGCTGTGGACAGGTAGGGTGGAGCCCAACCTATCCATTAGGCTGCAGCCAGATGTCACGTCCTTGGGAGTGTGGCCTTTGTACCCGAGAGAGATTCTAAGCAGAGCTGGGTTCTCTTTGCCCCTCACTATTTACTGGAGCTAGATTCTCTATCTGTTCACTGATCACCCGCCTCCCCGCCACACTCCAGCTTCATAAGCCTACTGCTTTTTCACCAGTTTCACAAGGCAGGAGAAGTCTGACTTGAACCACACTGGACTTACTGCTACAACCATGTAAGCTATTTCTCGACATAACTCTACATACAAACATATACAAGCATCACTGGATTTGCTTCTCTAGAAAATCCAACCTCACACATCTTGGTGAAGTAAAAAAGTAGAAGCCTCTCAACCCAATGGACTGATACAGTGGCTACGAAGAGCTCAGAGTTAACAACTGTGAGGATGGTATAGGACTGGGCAGTGTTTGCTGTTGTGCTCAGGGTCGCTATAAATTGGAACCAACTTGATAACAGCAAAAAATAACAATTATTTTAAAACAGAAAATATCCATAAGTATATCCAAAAGCATGGATTAGGAATTTTTAAAAACTCTGTATTAACTTAAAATGTCAAAATAGCAGCTACAATAAAACATTCGAAACAACATATTATGTGAAGACATCAAGATAGAATATCTTCAATAAAGTGGTCCTTATCTTTATTACTTTATGCCATTTCTCTCAAGAATTCGACATTTTCCTCAAACAAACATATGGTTAACTTTATGAATCATCTGTCCAAATGTGCAGAACAGGTCTTTACAAGAGAACAAACACATCATTTTTCTTAATTGACACCTGGCTAGGTTTATCTTAGCTCTATACGTGTTCTTCTTTTATCAGTTTGTGTCTTCAATGACATATGCAAGGTCCAAAATCAAATTAGCTGTCTCCACCGCCACCTGTAGACCGTTAAGCTTAGCAGTGAAGCAGTCCAAAGTCAGGTCGCTGGATGAGTAGGCAGCTTCCTGGGGCAGGCAGGCTGGTGGCATAGAAGGATGATAACTGCTTTTTAAGCAAGACCAGCTGAGTTGTTCCTGGCTACTGAGTGATCCACAACCACACCTTGAAAGCAAATCTGGCCAGTTAACAGCCGCGGGCGAATGGGACTGAGCTGACCAACAGTGTCCATACTTCCTGTCAGTGAGAATTTCACCGCCATCATGTTCTAAGGAGCCAGCAAGTGACTCTAGAGCTCTGCAAAAGGCCTCAGCAGTCAGCTGAAGTTCTGTTTGAGAACATCCATCACCCTTGAGAACGCTTCCTGGCTCGTGAAGAGTCTAAAGAGAAACAAAGCCATTAACACATGGTCAACAATGCTTATTAGATAGTCAGTTGCTTTATGCAGAAATATCCAGAAAACATTTTTTACTTTTTGGCCAGAAAATTTGAACCAGATAAGAGCATGTCTATTGCATAATTTTCACCACATCTTCAACACCCTTTCGTCAAAATTCTATCCCACAACTCCTGCCTCTAGATAACTTTCTCTCGTTTGGAATTATCTCCTCAGCATGGGTGGTGTTCATTTTTTACTATGTGTATTCTAATACGGTGGACTTGAGCACAGCAGCAATTGTGAAGATGGCGCAGGACTGGCGACATTTCACTTGAGTGCTGGGCAACTCAGAATTCCGGTAATCTGCAAAGAAGGTCAAAACCCACTCAGTGGCAACTACCTAACAACAACGTTGTTCATCTGCCAAGTTTACCAGTTTACCAGAGACTATATACACCAGAGGGCATATAGTCTCTCCAACCCCCAATGCCCTACCGGGAAGCTCTGGAAAATCACTGATAACAAACCGGCTTATTCAGAGAACCAACAGCAATTGTCTGGAAAATAGTTCTGCCTTTCTAAATCTATTTTCAGATAAAGTAAGTGATTATCTATTAAATAATGGGAATACAGTGCACTAAACTTATCAAGGCTTGTCAGGAAATGAAGTTACCTAGATTTTCCCCAAACACTTGAATTAATGTAATTGATATAGGTCATAAAGGGATACCAATTAAAAACTGAAAGTGGAATTTAATACTCAGAACAAAATGTATATGAATTACTGAGTGTGAAACTGATGATCTGTTTTGTAAACCTTCACTTATTTCACAATGTTTTGGGGTTTTTTAATCACAAAAGATGAGAGCAATAAATTAATCATTTCAGAATTTTATATTTGCAAGTGGTATTTTTTTCTCAACTGTTTTCAAATACCTCTGAGGGATTAAGCATTACAAGTTTCAGGGTATTACAATTTGGTTCATTATTTCATAAAGTACAAGTTACTGGGAATTCAGATAATTTGTAAAGAACCATCCATCCTACCTTGTGTCTGATATATGCAGCCAAATGAGTTTCAGTACAGCCACCTCCCAAGAAAACAAATGGGTCCTTGACAGTTAACTGTAAGACATGCAGTGCTGTTTGACACGTGAGCTAAAAGAGAAACGAATCGTCAGGCATTCTCCTACATTAAGAAATATAATCAGGCGTTCAAACAACAGAGTGCTCAGAACCTGATTTTCATTGCAAAAGAAAACAAGTGCTGTCAGGGTTCTAAATGATGAATACATCTCAGAAGGGTAAGGACTATTCAAGATACTTTAGCCAGATGTTTGTTTTCATGGGGCCTGATGACCATGTTCCTTCACATAGTTAGCTCTTCAAACTGAGATTCACACACTGATAGCCTCAAAATAACAGGGTCAACAACATTTGCTAGTATTTCTTCCATTTTGAAAAACAATTTCAGGCTAAATAAATTGTTGTATAAATAATGTAATATTTGTTTTAAATTGCTCTGGAAAGGATGCAACTACAGGCTAGTACTAATGAATATCAAACACTGACACAATATTCACCCCGGACATATCCTTGAGCAGACATGAATCTATCTCCATTAGTGACTAGTCCCATACAATTATCACTATCTTACTAACTTGCATGTTTTATCCATGGTAGAGAATACTGCACTACAAAGAACCGGATGGGCACTGACTGGGAAACTAATTTTCCATATGAGTTATTCATACACATCAGTATCAAAGAGTATCAATAAATCCAAATTGATTTCAAAGAAAAAGTTCCTACAAGCCAATGACCTTTATAGATTGTGCATGAATCCTAAGCTACATGGTACAAAGTGCCTGCTCTAATGTAATGCTGTAGGCAGTTACATTCGCATACTTGCAACTTTGCCTCTCCCATTTTCTATACCAGAGTGAAGTAATGTGGATCTGGGGAAGAAAGTATGGCTTACTGATGATGTAAAGGGAAAAAAATGTGTCCATTGAAGTAATTATTAAACGCCTGCCTTGGCACTTAGATGTGCAATTCTGTTAAGTGCCTACCTTCAACTCCTCCCAGGCCGCGTCACTTCTGCTGCAAAGGAGCAAGCTGGAGACAGTCACTTCGTTAGGAATAAGATGAAAAAAGTGTTTGGAGCCAAATGTTGCTGAGCACAAATCTTTTACACTTCCGTAGCTACTGAGAGAGACTGAACCTAGGGAACCAATGGGCTGTGACCCTGGTTTTTAAAGTGTAGAAAACACACAAAGTTTAATAAACCAAGTTGAAATAGGCAACCTTTTAAAATTTGAATTATTCCTCAATATAAAAATCTCACCAGGCATATCATTTAAAATATGAAGGGTAAATGTGCAGTAGTCTGTTGTTAAAATGATACACAAAGCAGAAATCCTCAACTTTTTGATTTCCATACTGAAAATATGTGGGAAGCTATTTTGTATTCTCTCCAGAAAGAGTACAAATGTATTTTGAAGTCCTGGCCTATGGAAGACCACTCAGGGACTCGAGAGACCCCAAAAGAACACCGTTAATCTAGAAGAGTGGTGAGGAGAGAGAGGCTATTTTATTATTTTACTATAAAACAAGCCAATCAAGTCAGCGTGTGCTGGGTAGTTGGATTCCTTTGGGGATGTATTTAGTGAACATCCTTTTTTATTTTGCATAGCAATTATTTGTAAGTTATCCCATCAATTATACCACACAAAGTATGGAAAGATCCCCTTTCCCTCTGCTATTGTTTCAGAGATTGTTTTTTCCTCTGTCCTGCATCATGCACAAGTCAAATAATAAACATTCACAAATTAATGTTAGATGAGATCAGTACTTTCAAAATCTTAAGTGTAGTGGAAGCTAATGTTAAGAAAACAAAAATAAAAACAAAACCCAATGTATTCCAGCAGAGAAAGTAACAATGTGAGTTTAAAATCTGAAGAGTACTGAGCAGTTTCATCGCTGAATAGGGTTAATGAATGATGCCAAAAATACTCCCAAGACTAAGAACTGTGTAAAAACCCAGAGAATAATATACCTAGGATCTTTTTCCTTTTGTGAATATCCTTTTTTATTTCTAAAGGCTCCAAGAGTGATCTGAAGTTCAAGGGGAGGGGGGAGGTGGGAGCAAAGACCCTAAATATCGTTCTGCCGCTTTACGATAGAAATCAAGGATGTGCAGTAAGGCTCATGAGGTTTGTTGCTTATCAGGGACCAGACGTTAAGCGAGTCATTTAACTTTCTAGGCAGGCATTCCCGTATGAAAGTAAAATGGGGATAATGACTTTTCACAAATACATCAAACATCACGTGAGAAAGGCTGTCAACCACATGTCTTCACAAATGCTGGTCCCCCACACACCATTCTATCCACTATTTTACCGCAGCTCCCGAGACCCAGGGTGGCTGATGCTACAGCTGCTAATGCCATTACTTCCACTTCTTAATGCTCAAGACAGTCCTACCCTGTCCTGCAGGGCCGAAAGGAGTGGGCATTCACTGGACAGAAGTGAGGGAAGATAGATAATGCTTTCTATCAGTTGACAGAGGGTCAACTTTGAGGGCCAGTTGACAGTTGGACAAAATGTTAGGCGAACTCCAGAGAAAGTATGTATTCAACACTTGGCATAAATACTGTTTTGGTGATTTATAACCGTGAAATTCAACAGTCGTCTGAAATTTGTCTAACAGCTCAAAAACGACGATTGACGCAGAAGTAAGCCATCTTCTTCATGACAGGTTGTTCAGTGTAGATACTGAAGTGATAATGGAGACCCTTTGGGTCAGCTTCTAGCTTGCTCAGGTGTCTAATTCCAGCCTAACTACAGGATCACTATGGATTGGAATTGTTGGCAGTGAGAATATTTGATTTTAATGTGGTTTTGTGGCATACTGTGTATTTCCTGCCCAATACAGTCTAGGTGACTAAATATTAGTCAACAGACGTTACAGAACATCTACTATTGGCCAGTCTTGTTCTAAGCGCTGAAAAGAAAAAGCTGGCCCTTGTCCCGAAGCTCAGCTGTTAGGTGTTAGGATAGCTAGAGTAGGCGCGGTTGTACCCCATCCCCTCAAATCTAATGAGGATCTACTATTTATCCAATAGTTGGTTGGGCATGTGATGAAAGTGAAGGAAAGGTATTTTCTCTGCAAAGCTCCTTTGTGGTTGGAAAGCAACTTTGGGGTGTTGTGACTTAAGAGCTTTGTAAAATTCCATTTTTAGTGTGTGAAGTGGGAAAGATAATTTTGAGGATGCTAGATTACTCAAAAACCTGTAAAACAGTTGGAGACTATTAACAGTTTTAGATTATAACTCTAAGTAGATTTGTGGGCTAGAAAATATGTGGAAAATGTCCACAATCCCTTAATTTTTAAGTGGATGGTACAAACTATATTTGCTGCCAGAAATGGTACCTGCCTGTGCTGCAAGGTTGGCAACTTCTAAAATTCTTCAAGAGGCTCATGCACACATCAAGAATCTGTTTCAAAGAGTATGACAATTATCAACTGTTGGGGTGAAAGCTGAGCTTGCTTTTTACCTGTCATTTTACTCAGTGGTTCCATTAAAGCTACTCCGAGTCTGTCTATGGCAATAACATGGTGCCTACTGAGAAACTGCTTCAAAGATGGGTGTATAACTTTCTGGCACATGACAAGACCTACGTGGTCCCTAACCAGCTGCCTTCCTAGGTCAAGCAACTGGTCCAGGACTGCCCTTTCCAGGCACACTCCGTAACTGACTGCCAAAGTTCCTTCTCCAGTGTCAGAAACGTCTCCAGATAAAGATACACAAAAGAGTGCCACCTTCAGGGCACTGGAGCTTGTGATGGCTGACGTCCTCAGCAGCTGAACTTCAGGCATTTCAATGAGCATTCCAGGCAATACAGTAGAGTCCAGAACCCTCTGACCTTTTAAAGGGACAATTATGCTCTTCCCTAAAATGATGCTGTCTTCCGCCTTTTCTGGAATGGTAAGCAAGAAGGCTCTCAGAACTAAAGCGCTGATGTGATCTACTTCCTTTCTGGTGAGCATACAGGCAGGTTTACTGGTGAGTATGCTGCGCACCAAGCACAGGAGGATCTGGGTACTGCTGAAGTCGACTGGGATCCGGCAACCACACACCTCAGACTTGAGGTAAGTGGTGCAGAGCCTCAAAAGCAGCTTGTTTGATTCAATGACAGTGGTGGGGGCCAGGTCTAGTGCCTGACCATTTTCAATCAGGTTGCAGCAAAGAATGGTCATGAATAAACCACAGTCACTGAAGCACGACACTAGATTCTGCATGGAAGTGGTCAGGATCTTTAATACGGGGTGGGTGACTGAAAGGCGACCGAGCAGGGCTGATGACTGTGATGTTGTGCACACATGCCCTCCAACATTGTTGTGCAGATGCTTCAGCCTGCCTGAAGGCCCATAGCATGACGTGACGATTCCTTTTAAGACTGGAAGTGTGGCCCTGACTCGCTCACTCTTCAGCGGGTCACTTTCGCACACTGAGGGCTTTTTAGCTTCAAAACGAGACATCTTACTTCAGGCAGTGGCTTGGGAAGACAGCTTTTATTTTTGGTTATGATATTTTTAAACGTATTAGCCCATCAGGGGTTTTAGCAGTAAAGAATATGTATTCCTTAAAAATTAAAGCCTGAATAGGCAACACTGTATTTGAAAAATTAAGTAGTTGCATGTTTACAAAGCTGGTTAGCATGCAAGGACTTCATGGCATAGTACCGAGTCTAAGTGTCCATTTCACTTCATTCTTCAGGGCTCGTTTGCTTGCCCCCAGACTGCAATTTTGCAGAGTGTTTTGCAGCCCTCTGTACCAAGTATGTGCCGAGATGAACAGCTACGAAAGACACTCCGGCGACAAGAAGCCAGTTCTTTCTGATCCAAGTGATGTTTTTCATTGCATCAAGCTGCTTCAAAGCTGCGTTGTTCTATAACAAATAAAAAAGAAACCATTTTAGAGAGGTAAGGCGACCAAAATCATTTTAAGGTTGCTATTTATTAACTTAATGTCCAGTGCTTTCTTTAGAAAAGGAACAGTGGATTGGCAGTAGGAAGCTATTCAGTTTCCAGAAAATGTAAACTAAAAATCAATTCAGATGGACTATGCCTTCCTTCTTATGTGAATCTAGATAAGAAAAACTGCTTATATTTCAAATGTTCTAGCATGTGCAACACAGCTAAAGGTTTAATGTACGGCTAATAAAAATATTCTCTTTCCACATTTTAGTACTTAAACGGAATTTGGTCCAAGTTTCAAAATTAGACTCCCAAGGCTTTTTTTTTTTTTTTCAAATTCTCTTACATCCAGATTTATTTGTAACCTTAATTTTCTTGGAAACCTTAAATCTGGAAAGTAGTGCATTTGAATCAAATTCCATTTGGAAATAATTAGCAAAGCAGTACACCTGTTAGCATCCCTACTATAGAAACCCAGTACCGCATCATCTCTACCCATTTGTTTAAGTCTGCACATTATGCGGTACCCAAAAAAATCAAACCAGACTTTAAATATTTGGCTAATGTCAGTTAGTTTTCTGAAGTCTTACTCTAACAATAAATACTTTCCAGTTCTGAAATGTTAACCAACCTTACTTAAAACTTTGATTAATAAAAAAACCCCAAAACAATCTTTGGTTAACGACAGTAAAATACAAAAATAAATAAATAAAAACCAAGGGATGTTTTGAGTAACTAAAGAAAAAACATGAGATCTGTTTTGTCCTGCAACCACAAAGAATCTGAATAATGTAACATTTATCATAAACCAAATGTTCAGGCGGAAATGCAGTACTTGCTTCCTTTAAAAGGCTGTAAATAGCTTACCATGAGGCAAAACACCCTTAAGTTTTAATAATGTGCACACCGAAAAAGTCAGGTTATAAACCTCCTCTGTTGACACTTGGTCCTTTGAAGGTGAAGGTTTAGCCTGTTATTATGTTCAGGAATATGCTACCAATTGAACGGTATGCAGCATAAATGATGATTACTCTTAGCCTAAAACAAAACTCAGAGCCGTCGAGCTCTTCTGTGGGGTTTCTAAGGCTGCCCGTCTTCACAGAAGTAGACACTCTCGTCTGTATCTGGCAGGGCTGCTGGTGGGTCTGAAGCTCCAATCTGTAGTTAGCAGCTCAACACTTATCCCACAGGACCACCCTGGCTCCTCCGGACAATCAGAAGATGCTAGTAATTCACTAAGTAAAAGACCACTGGAAAACTCCATACTTGAGATATTAGACCGATAACCCAATTATCAACCTCCGTAACAATGAAAGTGGAACAATCACATGTTACATGTGAAACAATGTGATTCTAAATACCAGTTTATAGGAAATGACAAATGAAGTCATTTGTCTGAATCAGTCAGATCCAGAATGTGGAAAATTAGCAAACGGTTAATGAGAAGAGGAAGTGTAATAGATGAAAAGACACATTTTTACCAAGTGTCAAGAACAAACCACCTCCGTGGTCGTTAGATGATTTATGTCAACTTGAAGAGGTATCAAAGTGCAGAGGATGGGAGGTGACCTATGAGGTCACAGCCTGATGATGCCTCTTGGATGGTTTGGCCTTCTCTAAGGAGGACGTCAGGAACCTCTCACTAATTCTGCCCCTTTGCCTTCCTGCTTGCTGGGACTCTGTCACTGACGCTGAGAGCTGCGGGGCCCAGCCACGTTTCCAGCGACCTTGGACCCATCGACTGTGCACCCCCAGCCTGTGCTCTTCCTGCAGGCTGTGTCCCTTCATGCGGCTGAGAGTCTGACGAGGGACTTCTGGACTAGGATCACACTGTGGATGGACCGGGCTGGGATGCCTTCTTGCTATGTAATCACTGCTTGGTATAAAGCTCTTTCTTACACATAGATGAGGGTCACTGCATTTGTTTCTCTAGTCAACCCGGCCTCACACAACTTCTAAGAAGAGATGTTTAAAGGCAAATTCAGAAACATGATTTTGGTCCTAAGTATTAAATGATTAGTTTTTTCCAATGTCAATTGTGTTAATTATGGTTACATGTATATATGTTTTAAAGAATATCCGCCAAAGGATACATACATATTATAGCTTGGGATATGCTTTACAACATTTCAGCAAAACCAATCTAACAAAAACAAATGGTGGATAAAAGAAGACTGGACAATGTCGGCAAGTATTAAGGCTTGGTGTTAGGGTATTTGACGAGTTTTTTAGTTTGTCTATTTTGGGGTACATTTGAAGTTTCCATAATAAAAGCAGTAACAAAAAATAAAAACACAAATACAACACATTCTTCACCTGTTAGGAATGAGTGCGTAACTGATTCTCTATCTGGCTTTACTTGGGCTTCCCAAGCCTGTTGAGGCACCTGTGCCACTCGCTTGACTGGCCTGTAAGTGTTCTAACTATTGTCACGTGGACATCTAAAACCTTCAAAGCTTTACCTAGCATTTCAGAGGCCATTTCTTACGTTAGTTTTACTTTGTTCTACAAATTATTCCATGATTAATAATATTTCTTGCATTTCCTCTGTAAAAGGAGACTCTGTATTTTTGTTCCTCCCAAAGTGTGGTTCCTGACACTTAAAGGAAAACACAGTGTCATAAATACAATATATAGAGGGTTCCTGACTTCGGATGGGGCTCCATTCTACCAGGTCCATCTTAACTTGGTTCTGACCTAAGTCAAATTCTTTTCTTTCATGATTATTGCCTTTTATTACCAGTATCTCTACAAATCTGATCTTTGAATATCTCTGAATGATGTCAGCAAATTACGCATTGCAACATCATATGCAGTACATCTTACTAGTGATTAGATGTACAAAAGAAACAACAAAAAGATGGTAGGAAGTAAGGTTCGGGGTAATTTGAATATGTCCTAAGTACTTATACATCTGCATGAATAATGATCTAGAGATAAATATCAAACACCCAATAAACTTTTTAACTCTTTGCTAATACCCACTAAAATTCCCCTTATATACATTTTACATACAATGTCAAGTTACTCTTTGTTAAATTTCCTGATACTGTACAGTCTTTCTTTTCATAGTGATAGTCCAATACTGAAAGTCCTGCTTGCCCCTTTAAAAACATTCAAAACTAAAATAAAATCTTGATTTAAAACAACACTGCATCAGAAAAACCTATGGACTCTTAAAAGTAACCAAATATTCTGATCAGATGATAATGAATTAGATTTATACCGGGAAAGAGCCTTTGCAAGTCACAGACTTCTGAGCTAGATAATGAAGTCCCTACTCACTGCTCACTCAATGGCCCTGCAGTGTTTCTGAGGCTGGTTGACGAGCAGATAGTCTCATCTTTCTCCCTTGGGGTGGCTGAAGGGCTTGGATCACCAACCTTGCAATTAGCCGTCCAATGCTTATTGCACAGTACCACCAGGGCTCCTAACGGAGTTCCTAAAAACTCAAAAAAGAACAAAGAAGCCCCACTGCTATCAAGTTAATTTGTACTCACATTGAGTCTAGGGCAGGGTAGAACTGCCTCCTACAGGGGCAGAAAGCCCAGCTCTCTTCCTCAGAACAGCTGGTGCCTTCAACTGCCAACGCCAATGGCGAACTCTGACGTCCAAGAGGCTCTAGGTCAGTGGTTCTCAACCTGTGGGTCACGACCCTTTCACAGTGTTCGCCTGATTCATAACAGTAGCAATTACATAATTACAGTTATGAAATAGCAATGAAAATAATTTTATGGTTGGGGGTCACCACCACATGAGGAACTGCATTAAAGGACCGTGGCATTAGGAAGGTTGAGAACCACTGCTCTAGATGGTATGTGACTCCCAGGTCTGTCTTAGGGAGCCACACCCTTAAATATTTATAGCACCTGGGGACGCTATTGGTGGTATAAATATATGAATGTGAGGCTACATGAAAAGCTCACACCCACCCCTTCCTGAGACAGGCCTGGGAATCTGCTTCTGGAAGGTTGGAGCCTTGCAAACCCCGAAAAGCAGTTCGACTTTGCATTCTTGGGGCCCTCACAAGTTGAAACGGGCTCCACGGCAACCAGCAACATAACTTATGGTCTGAAGTCAGCGGCTCCTTTGTACAGAGTCAGATCCAGTTCACTGCTGATAAAAGGCACACGACGATGAGCGGGATGATAGTCCTTCCCCTTGCCCTGCAAACTGCTCTTTTAATAAGTATCACAGGCCCTATGCAGCATATAGTTGTAAAAGTAATTGCAGGACAATATTTTGTCATTGGGTCATTAAAAAAGAATACAACAGGTACCTTGCCACTAGGGTTTGGTCTTGCTAGAGCTTTATACACTTAAGAGATCAAGTTCCCTGATTGGCACATATTAAGGAGCTGAGCAGATTGCATCCATCTTACCTGAAGGCTGCCAGGCTGCTATTTCCCTTGGGTTTTGCTCTTCTGGGGACTCAGAAGTGCCAGATTATCTGGTTCAGGAATGTTGTCCTTATTAGGTATTTGGAACACAGGGCTGCTTTTGATTTTGTACCA